GGGGTCGTAAGTATTTTACTACACTCGCAACTGCATACGGTCATACGAACGCGCAGGACACATTAACATTTTCAGTTGGTAGGAAATTTTGAAATTTGCCCGGGTGGCGGCCGAAGCCTACTCATATCGATTTTAGACCACCAAGGGATCTTTATCGTGCAGAACTTGCACACAGGACCTCCGAGGTTTTTCGCCCTTGTCCGAGAAGGCTAGGTGTAGATCTTTCCTTAAAGAAGACCAGGGGTGTGGCTGAAAGACAGCAGTGAGAAAGAGTCAAGGAGTAGCAGTAGAAAAGCTGCAGAAAGAGTCAGGAACCCAGAGGAGGGGGCACAGGAGGTGAGGGGGGGCAGAAAGAGGAGACGAAAACAGACGACAGAACATTGCTAGAGAGCAGGAAAAGAGGTGAAAGGAGACAATTTTTTTGTGAAGAAAATGTTTTCGTTGCTACTAGGATTCGAACTCGGGACCTTTGAGAGAGAGACGAACACCTTAACCTCTAGGCCACGAGAACCCCAGTCTTAGTTTTAGTAATATGAGTTTTACTGCACTTGTAACACAAATAGACCATATAAATGCCCGCTGAAGATTGGTTGTTGTCAAGAGAGTGACAAACATACAAAAGAAGTAGAGGAAAATGATGGTAGTAAGGATTAGGAAAGAAAAAGAGCAGCAGTTCCCTGCTGCAGTTCACGCACAGTTATGAGCATGACATCGATGAATCAGCCTATTTACAATATTCTACTGTGCATGAACATGTTAATGTCCCCCCCTTTGGGAATGGCCTAAAGACAGTCAGTCCACCTACTGTTAACACCCCCCCACCCCTCCCCAAAAATCTTCAAAACTTAACAGACAAGCTAGACAAAGACAGGAGATGAGGACGGAGCTACTAACTGTCTGTGGGCGATGCCATGCTCGAGTCATCCATGTCCATGGGGAGATCTTACTCCACGGTGTAGAGGCAATGAATGTGCACCTACTGTCGACCCCCCACCTCCCCTCCCCAACATCTCCAGAATTACCAGAAAAGCTAGACAAAGGACGGGGCTACTCACTGTCAGTGGGCGATGCCATGCTCGAGTCGTCCGTGTCTGTGGGCAGATCGTACTCCATGGTGTCCCCGCGCCGCTCGCCCTCAAACTTGGAGCTGGTGTGGGAGGCTTTGCGCGACAGGGAGGGTTCCGACACGATGTTGTTGCACACGCCCACAGAGGTGGACAGCGACGAGCCCCCCGACTTCTCGTCCACTTCCTCCTCCTCATCCTCGGTGCACGACTTCTGACCGGAAGAGGGGGCCAATGAGACGTTGGGCGTGAAATGACGCTCGTATCTGACGGAGAGAGAAACACACAGATGGTGAGTTTTATTTGTTTGGGTGTTTTGTTTTGTTTTAGCAAGTGTTTTTTTGTTTTAGCAAGTGTTTTTTTGTTTGTTGTTTTTATTTTTATTGTGAAAGTTTTACGGCACTTACAACACAATAAGGTTATATAAGTGCCGAATATTAGAGGTGTTACAAGAGATTAACAAACACAAAAAAGAAAGAGGAGAGATCAGGACGATAAGATGGTTGGACGATAAGATGGTTGATAGGAAAGAAGAAGTAGACCTCACCAGAGCACCCATCAAACACCCACAGCTTCAGTTTCAAAGTGGGGGTTTTTTGTAAGGGTTTTGCAGCACTTAGAACACAACTAGGTCATATACTTGCCAAAGATAGAGATGTTACAGAAGAGGAACATACAAAGGAAAGGAGGAGGAGAGATAAGGGGATTTTATTTTTCATTTTTGTGTGGGTTTTCCAGCATTTGCAACACAAATAGTTGACATAAGTGTCCAAGATTTAAGGTGTTTTAGACAGTAACTTTTCTTTGCCATATCGACAGACCGAAGGGCTAGAACCCAAATGGCCGCTGAAACGGAAAAGTAAAAAAAAGTAAAGACAGTAACTTCCAAACTAAACAAGGTGAAGGGATAAAGATAATGAATGTTGGATGGGAAAGAAGGAGAGAACGACACCAGAATACCCCTCAAACACCTACACAAAAGAAAAAAAAGAAGTAGAACCTACCAGTGGCACACTCCACAGACCTCCCACAGATAAGATGAAAGAAGACAAGACAAGACAAGACAAGACAAGACAAGACAAGACAAGACAAGATAAGACAAGATATTATTACACACATACACACACACACACTCACACACACACACACTCACACACACACACACACACACACACACACACACACTCACATACACACACACACAGCAAACATCAAATCTAGGCTGTATCTTTGTGGGTTTGTTTGTGTAATTAGACAGCACACAGAGATGAAAACGGTCATTAAGAGCATAGAAAAAGCTAGAGGGGCAGGCTAAAACACACGAAGAGGCGGTTGTTGTTGTTGGGTTTTTTTTGGGGGGGAGGTTTTTTTAATTTTATTACAGTAGAGGGTTTTACGGCACTCGCAACTGCATAAAGTCATATGAGCGCCAAGGGGTGGGTGTCAACAGAGAAGTCTTTACAGGGAATCAGACTTAAACTGCTCACCTCTCTAGCTTCAACAGCACAAGGCCTGCTTCAACTATCAAGGCACCGCGGAAATATCGGGTCACAATAGAGTGACAAACATACAAAAGAAGTAGAGGAAAATGACAATAGTAAGTTTCAGGAAAGAAAAAGCAGCAGTTCCATGTTGTAGTTCAGGCACAGTTATGAGAGTGACATGAGTCAGCCCATTTATAATTCTACTATGCTTGAACGAGAAATGTCCCCCCTTTGGGAATGGCCTAAAGACAGTTCAGTCAGTGGCACTGCCCCGGGGGTGGAAGGGAGGTGGACGTTGACAAACCAGTAGCGCACTCCATGCAACCAATCGCTCCAACATCAGCGCAAGCACCCCTACAAAACCCTTACTACCAAAGATCGTGTATACCTTAGTAGAGAATCTCTGTAACTACACCCCTACAAAACCCTTACTATCAAAGATCGTGTATACCTTAGTAGAGAATCTCTGTAACTACACCCCTACAAAACCCTTACTATCAAAGATCGTGTATACCTTAGTAGAGAATCTCTGTAACTACACCCCT